GGAGGTCAAACTGGGGCTGCCACCTTCTGCTGTATATTCGTCTTTCCAGATAATCTTTTTTCGACACCTTAAAATGACACATTTAGGAGTTAATTATCGACTTACCCGTTGCCTTATCTTTGAGTTTTAATGAAGTTAGAATTCATTCAAAAATAAGATCATTACTGTTTATCTGAATTGGACGTTATTCATGCATTTATCTTTTCTGAGACTGAGTGCTGCAACTGTCTGTTCGCATTGCTCAGAGGAAAACCCTGTTTAACATCTTTATCTGAGCAGCCAGATTTCTGAGCGCTACAAAGAAGACTGATCACATTTCCCTCCTCGACAATGTCCCACAGCAACGCTTAATTGTCCCAATTCTGAAAACGACATGTGTTTGCGTTTCCCTGTCAATTGCTCTCCTCTCGTCATCTAAATGACTGCTGGTGATGACATAGTGTGAGATTTGTATCCTCATTCAAAACCTTTAAGTGAAGACACACATACTTGAGAACCTGGTTCAGGTCTGATCTCTTACAGTATTTTTAGTTGTCTAAGCTTAACCCATGGAGTTGGTAGATCATAAAACTGTCATATCGGTTGATTTGAAAAGAGTCATACGGGCAATTTTGGAAGGCACCGGTTTAATAACTTGTTGCTCCAGATTTTGTACAGTCTTGCACCAAATTCCAGATTTTACAAGTAATTTTAAAGACTTACTTGACTTACATCCATAATTTGGCTCCGGCAAACTATGCACTGTACCCACAGTGTACCCACACTCTTCTATCCTGCAGCAGTTCACCTCCTTACAATAGACCTTACAATCTAAATCTAAATTTAAAGCTAAAATGTATTTTTACAAACTTGCATTTCTGCAGTAGGTGTTCAACCCATTTGATGTGATGTTTCTCTTCTTTTTAAACAATGGGAGCCATCTCCGCAGCCCTTTATTCCTCCATGCCTACTGCCACCATCTCCCTCTTAACTTCCCTATCCCTCCATTGTGCTCGGATCACATTATGTGAACTCTCATTACAGGGGTGGTAATAGACTCTTCAGCACTAAGATCCTCTTCATTATCCGTCAACTGAGGACTACATCTCTAAGCTGATTAGCCCAACCCGTCTTTTCAGCATTTCAATTAGGAGCGTTTTGAATAGTCAAGCAGATTGCATGACTCATATTCGTCACTGACATTTTTAGAGTGCTACTCAGTGTTAGAATACATGTAATCCAAGAACTGCATTGCAGCAGTGAGGATATATAGAGCTACAGAAGAATAACATCGTGGAGGATTTTAATTTTGGACGTGCAGGGGAATGGCTATCAACAGAAATTCAAGGCAATTTACAACAGCAGGGAGGTATGTTTTGGCATAAATGGCCCAGCTGGCAATCATACTACTGTCATACACACATTGAGTTTGTGCCGTTCTTAAGAAAAACGACAAGACAAATAAAATATTTCAAGGAGCATCATCATTACCATTTATAACACAAGATTATGTCTATATTAGCTTGAGCCTGTCTGCTCTCAGAGGACTGTAAAATGGACATTCTGAGCGGCGTAAAGAGAAGCTGGGTCTTTAGCTGCCACTTTAAAAAGCTGCAGCCTAAATGCCCATGGGCTGTGAACACCTACACGCTTAATCTCACTGTTCAACTCACTCTGTTCATGTCGTTTCAGATGAGCTCGCAGAGGAAATGTCCCACGTAGGGGCCCTTATGTTTGGGAAAGAATGACAGAGGAGGAACCGGAGAGGAGGAAATTGAGGGAGAAGAGCGGGTGGACGAGGTTGTGACTCCTAGTGCCTAATAGATTTGGGTCAGATGACGAGGATATGATCTGCTCAGGGCCGTGTGTGTGTGTGTACACGTGGGGTGCATCGTTGTGTGATGTCATTACAAGTTGCGCCAAAACACGATGATCTCGGGGTATTATCGGTATCTGTTTAAGGTATCCGGCTTTATCAAATACCCACTTGACACAGGAGTCACCACTGTGTTTTATCATTCTGTCTCTGTCTGACTCCCGCACACACACACACACTCACTCACTAATCCATTCAGTCATTGTTAATCCAGCTGTGCGCTGGTACAGAGATATGCCGTACACTGCTGACAACCATGTCACTGAGGTGCGGATGTCATACCTGTCTGTACTTTGGTTGCTAATGTTGTCCTTGTTGTTACTGCTGCGGCACCGCTCTCAGGGGGAACACACATCTGAATCCATAACAAATGTTGTACTCTACCTTGCCCATTATAGCACAATGTCTCTCTGTGGATATCATCAATGTCGTCAATGCATGTACCTTTGCTCTAAGTGTTGTCGTCATGTTCTCAGTTGTATTCATTTGACAAAGAGCTCAGCCTCACTCAGAGCATCAGTCTGAGAGAGGAGGGCAGAGGAAATAAGTGATACAGTCGCACACACTTTCTGCAGTCGTCATGTACCATTTGCCAGAGAACGACTCCAGCGGAGCAGCTGAGAGTCGAGTGCCTTTTCCCAGGGCACCTTCCTGGTACTTGTACAGGAAGATCAGAGCCATTCATATTTCAAATGTGAGCAGATAGATCTTTTTACAGTTGTGATTTCAGTCCCAAGTCCCTTTGCATAACATCTAAACCACTGTTATACTGTCAAGCTCTTGTATTTTCACAAAAGATCACAAAATAACTTGCTTGGATGCTTGGATCAAGAAGTGTATGACGGAATAAAATAATATAATCAATGTTTCATCCTTGTGAATTTATCTGTTAGCTTTCAGGGTCTCTGAACAACTAGTTTAATTGTTATCCTCAGTTATAAACTGCTTAATCTTTTCAAAAGGTATTGTTAAGCAGTATGAATGAGCTGGCAGCCTGTAACAGCGTAAGATGTATCGCGTTTTGTCAGCAGCATGACCAGCAAAAATGAGTTGGTTGTCGTTTCTGGCTCCACCTCTTAGTGACTTCCAAGTGAATCAAGTTACAAAATAAGAGTGTAGATTTACACATTTACACAAAAATGTATCCTCATACAGCAGTTCATATTATATGTTAAAAGTTATTTTTCATTTTGTGTGCATTTCCCACTGATGTCACTTGTTACATACATAAAGTATTTTCAAAATAAACTTTCGTCCTCACAGGAAACAACTTCATTAGCTTTAGGCAACACAACTTCTTGCTTAAGTTGAGGAAAAGACTGTAGTTTGTGTTAAAACAACTAGGGAAGTGGCGTTACGCGAGTGTGGAAGTTGCATGACTAATAAATCGACGTTGTGACTTCTGGTTTCACTCAGGACACGAACAGTGGTCTGCTTGACGATAGTCCGGTGTCCTCCTTATGCAGCTTTTGTTGCTTTGCATACTTTCATGTTTGCAATTACATCAAATAAATAAGAATTGATTTGATGAATATTTTTCAGGTAGTATTGATATATCATTTGGCTTTCTAAAACTGGTATTTCAGTATTTTAAAGCTCATGATGCTGCATTGACTTCCTGTTTACATAGTTGATTGCTTTTGATTGGACAGTGCTACAGATGTTTTTAAGCAACGGATTTACACTTTGCCAAGACATTCCTTAAGTTTGAATTGGGCGACCCAATTTAGTTAATCACCAGTTTGAAACCAGCTAGTGGTTACGAAGAATTTAGGAAGGATTTAACACACAAATTTAGTGATGGATTTACAAACAGCTGGTGCAACCCACTCGTGATGAGCATTTATGCTGAAAGAATGTACACATAAAATATAGCTCCATAGAGTCGTAATGGAGTTGATCTAAAGGACTTTCAAATTGGAAACCGGGGGGTATAGTCTGTGCTCATGAAGCCCAGATTAGGATTTGACAGCTTGTGGAAAGTGGTTGGCGTGGGCGTATATGTGTGGTCAGAGAGAAAAGTTGTGAACTAGAGTGTGTAGAGACATCCAGAGATTTAAAAGAAGGCCAGACGAAAAGCAAATATTAGGAGGAGGAGATAGAGGAAGACATCATTGAAAAATGAATTAAGACCCATGAGAAAGAAGGAGCAGTCTGATTGGGATTAAGTGGAGGAAGGAGAAGGAAGGTGATGGAGAGTTAAAGCTTGAATATGAGAGGAGGAGTGGCATCAAGATAAAAAAAGATGCAGCTGCGAGGGATCATAAAATATAGAGAAAAACAAGAAGAGGAAATGCTACAGAAAATAAACTAGAGCGACAGATAGAGGAGAGATACTGAGCACTAAAACGTAGTAGAGGAGACAGCAGATGGTGGGGATTATTCTGGACTAAAATACTCTGGGATCTACACAGGGAAGGCCGCAGACATAAACCGTTGCAGACTCCATCTGCCAGAAATAGACCAAAAAAAGCTGTAAGCCCACCATCGGCATAATGATCAAATGCTGCCTAGATGGCAAAACCCCCAAAAACGTCATCCTAGACAACACCATAAATACGTTTTTAAATCTCAGGATAGAAAGAGTGCTGATGTTCTATTAAGTCAAATCAGTTGGGAGAGACATCCTGTCGAGTCATTAGCCAAAGACACAGTACATGCAAAAATACGCACAGCAGGGGACCTTTTAAGACATTTGTATCAACCAAAAACTTAAAGCTAAGCCAGCATTACCATCTCTCGGATGGCATTTGTGTCGAGACATAACGTAAAACATGAACAGGTACTAGTTGCATTCTTTTCTTTGCAGCAGGTGCGTGTGTGCTGGAGTATTTCACTATGTGTTTGTGTGTGATTATGGCTGATACCATAAGACACCCCTAATCCACATTTGATGTTCGCCATGATTAGGATAACAGGCTGCGCTAACAGTGTGCGCATGTGTGAATGTGCAGAGAAAATGACAAACTGGCCCACAAATCCCCCCAGTAATGCCTCTATATCCATCCACACACAACCTGACCACACATAGTTGCAGATACAGTCTAATGCCTGCCAATCAAATCATCCCATCTCCCTCCGCATGCAGAGAGAGAAAGAAAAAGAGGAAAGAGATCTAGAAGTAAATTGAAGACTTTTGTCTTACCTTTCCCTGTGTGTAGATCGAACCTCGAACCTGCAAAAAAAGGATAAAACATAATTACTGTTGTGTTCTGAGCGCACATACGTGGGGCTGAGCAGATCATACAGGGAGCTGCCGCACTGATGAAGCAATTTAAACATAAAATCAACAACAATAGCTTTGTGTGCAGGCAGAACCCACACACCAGGCTCGGTTTCTGTCAGCAGCTTTTCTCAACACTCCTCTATAATTGCCTATTGAGCCGTGTCACTCAAGACTTGTACTTTATGTTCCTACAACAGCAAGTAATTGTTCGTACATTGTAGTCTCAGTATTAGTATTAGCTTGGCAAACATATTGACTTATTCCATGTGTGTTTGAAGGAGAGAGACACGTGTGCATGTGTGTTTTATCGACTAATTATCTACGCTGACTGGGGACAGTTAATTCAATCCTTTCGTGGCACTGAGCATGAAGTAATTATTGTGTAGGGGTGCATATCCACCAAAAGAAGTCAACATCCACATGTGCTAAGTACATAACGTGTGCGCACACATACTGAATGCACTTCTGTAACAGAGACAGACACACCACAAGCATTTCTCTTACACGCCTGCACACACTACGATACACCCGTACCTTGGATTGCAAACAGACACCAAATTGTTGCATCATCACCTTGTCTTGTGAGCATTCGTACAAAAGCATTGGACATCTTTCCATCACCATCAGCTGCTTGACAAGAGCATGTATGCCCAAACTAAATTTCTCCCTCAATAAAATCAGATGGCAGACGGATGTGTCTCCATTGACTTGCATCTGACAATCATCTTACTGCCATCTTCATTACAATTGGCCTCAGTCAACCTTTTGTGACTTCTGCTTGGGTGCACCAGCATGGTAGCAGCAAACAATGCTTCTTACATTTCATAGGTATCAAAGAATAAAGTCAGTTACAGAGATTACTGCCAGTGCGAGGGCACATTTCATACATTGTTACAGTGCAAAATATGATTAATTATTTCAGCTCTGCACTAAGAGGTTTGGTAATGCTTATTGGCCACAGAGGACATCACAGAAAATACTTTGTAGATATGTTTGCATCTTCATTTTGATACATAATAAATTATGGATTCACTGGGAATTATAATGAATGTTTTATACGCCTCCCAGTGCCAAACTGTGCCCACCAAAAAATCCCCAAAAAGAAAAATCCCCAAAAAGAAAAAACTCTCCCCAATTTCTTGAAGTACTCAAGTTTGCCTGGATGAAACCATTTCATATGGATTCTCCTGGGAAAGACAAACATTTAGCTGCATCTCTTTGCTTTCCTAAATCACAATACTGTCTCAAAACCAGACTTACTTAAGCCATACCAGCTGATTTTGTAACACCAGGAAATAAACTATTTAAACTCTAGTTTATGTTCTCTAATGTCATGCAAAACACATGCTTCATTGTCGTGCACTGTTACAGACTTGTGAAAAGAAGGGACTCTTTGTTACGATAAGTTCTGTGCCGAAAACCTTTAACTCACTCAGGCTGAACAGAGTTCTGCAGGAGGCCTGGAAGCAACGGGAGCTGCCGCGGCATACAAATAAGCTTTACAATCAGCTTCTGACACACACAAAGGCACTTACATGCCAATGCTGTTCATGTGCAAGTTCATTTCTGAGGTTTTTTTTAATCCAAAAAAATGTGCACAAAAGATGTTAAATCACAGGATTAAATCTCCTTTAGCCCTACCATAAACACCCCTGTGTATATGTCCTTATGGTATTTGACACAAGTAATGTCTCAGTATTGCTGTTTCGCGTAACCTATGCAAATAACATTTCGTAGAGAGCCGAGTGCATATGATCTTGGAAACATATGCGCTTGCTCAATGGAGAATCCTATTACACCCTCTTTACGTGTGACAAGATCAAATCCAACAGCAGCAGGCCAAACTCCCTAGAAAAAATGCTTTGTGCTTGTTAAGGCGAAACCTACGTTTACAAATTTGATTCCAAGTCAACGAAAGGTTCTCAATGATGTATTCAGTGGTGGGAAAAAAGAAAAGAAAAACGCACAGAGAAATAATTGCCCATATTTTCAGCATGAGCTGGCTGTGAGGGCAGAAGTGGGAGGCTGACACTTCGCCTGGCTGATCCTTTTCAGTTGCAGATGTTCACGGGCCCATCAGCAGCAGGGCTTAACACTCCATACGGCTAAAGAGTTGTTGACGGTGAGGAGTGATCATTTCATCATTTGTTGAGCAGTGGTGCCTGACCACTTACATTCAGATAGGGCTTTCAGGTGGATCAAAGGCTCAAAGGAAACAGGGAAGGTGTGTCAAAATAACGGGAAAACAAGGGCTGCATATGCTGTTATTCTAACAACTGATAAATTGGATATACAGACAATGTCCCTGCTTCAAATGACCTCGTTGGAAGAACAGTTGGATAGGCCTCTCAGGAATATGAGCAATCAGCGACTATCGACACAAGAAATTATTCTAAAAGAATGACAAGTAATATCTGTGTGACTGACTGGCAGCCAAGAACAAAAAGAGCTCAAATAAACATTCAACCTGTGAGTAACAGACTATATAGCTCCCTGTCTGAATGCCATCACACTCCGTCTTTCCTTTGCTCTAAAACGGTGTGATTAGTCACTGCCTGAGTCTACCTCGAGCAGGTTGAATTTAATCTCAACCTCTGAGGCACTTTATGAAGAATTTCAAACCATTACCCAAGCTCAACAATTGGTGGTGGCTGCCAAGCACCTTCAAGGGAATGTCAGTTTCCATGGAGACCAAGCCACCCCCTTACCACAAGTAAAAGTCAGTAAAAGCCCATTGACGAGCACATATCACAAACCTCTTTTACTGTCTCTTGTGTACTGCCTCGCCCTTTCTTTCTCTGCCTGACATCAATGTTTGTGTTAATCTATACGTCTTTGAGGCAGATGTTTGAACTGAGGAAAGTGTTTGTCCATGTTAGTAATTGCTCATTTGCAGTTTCCCCGGCAGTTTCCCTGGGACTCTGGAGGTGTTCGTGGGAAGAAATAGAGAGACGTATAACATTTAAAGAAAGTTAAAGAATAATAAACTAAGTCAGGAGGATTAACGCTCAGAGTTAAGAGGAGATGGAACCTAATAAATAAGAAGTGTTTTTGACAGTGGTTGTAGTTGGCCGTTTAAAACTACTGTAATCACTATTTAACCATTAAGAATGGATGGAATGACTGTGTTTGTGAAAGGCGTCACTCCTGGAGGTGGATGTATAAATGAGCAACGGTTTGCCATCAACTTTCATTGTGACATATGTGAAATCGGGAATACAGTATGTCCGTGTTGACAGCTTGTTTCTGTTGTCCAGGGGATGAAATTGGGCAAAATCACACCAGAGCTCAGCTCCACTCTGATGGAACTCAACTGAATCTTCTTCAGTATAACAGTATTGCCAACTCTTTCAGACACTGACCAAACAGATGTGGAATGAAGGCTCCTTGTCTTTGACTTTATTAAATAGCTGAGGCCATCACACAGCAGCAGGATCGGTACTTGTGTCTTCAAATTGAGAAAGGGGCTGTTCGCAAGTGAAAGTTGTCACTGGCAGTGTATTTGGGAATAGGTCTATATATTTGGAGTGTTATTATTGTCTTCTGGGACTTCAAGTGGAATTCATATCAAGGGTAGCCTCATCCAAATTACCCAAAAATAAATATAATATAAAAATGAAAATGTTTAAATATATAATATAAAAATGAAAATTTTTAAATATAAAAATGAAACTGTTCTTGCTTCACCCCAATGGTATCTGGCTATTTAGATTCAGTGTTAGATGCAGGTGAGCGGGTGAGCGGGTGAGCGGCGACGGCCAGGGAACTGCCGAACTAATGAGGGAAGTGGGAACAGGTGTATCGAGGTGTGGGGCAGTCCAGTGATGGGGAAAGTCCGAGGGCATCTGGTGGATGGCTGGAAAAGGGCAATGAAGGGGCCTGGGGAATAGGGAATGTGGCTGTAGAGGGGGGGGAGGCCGGGGGGGTTGTGACAAGTGCAATAATTGGAAGGAAACAAATCCCTCTTTAGTTTTGCCTGCATTCCTGAGGTTACTATTTGAGCTGTGAAAACATGAGTTTGACAGTTGTATTGTTAATATATGAGTACTATAATAAGTGAAATACCTTTAAATAGTCACGGTGAATCAAAGTGTATGTCCTGCATTGGTGTCAAGGTAAAGATTCACTCCTTGTAATCTAAGGGATTAAATCTGAATCCTTTAAGTAGAGTCAGAAATGTGTCTTTTGTTCGTCTGCCTCACTGACAGTTTTTATTCCATCTTAGCGAGAGGGAACAAGTAAAGGAAGAGAAATGCTCAATGAATGCAGCTTCAAGGAAAACAAAAATGTGTCTCCCAGAGGCAAACCTACACTCTTCTCTCCTGCCAGCGTGTTCAGCCAGAAGATGCTCACCAGGTAGCGAGCGGCAATGATGGAGATAACATGCCCAAACAGACTCCCTCAGGAGGCGCAGCATTTCCTTAAAACCACACAAACTGCATCTATAAAAACACATCCTTGGCATGCATTCACACATGATTTCATGACCCACGGTGTTCACACCTGATTCTCTCCCCTCCTGAGTCTTAATCAAGTTGTTTGTTTCAGAAAGGCGTTGTTAGTTTCATCTTTCCTTTGATTGTGTAGGTGTGAATGCCTCTGAGTGAGCGTGTGTGCCCGCTCATGTGTGTGCACACTGTCCCTGAGAGTATTGTGAACACATTTAAACGCAAGTAACAAAAACCCCCTCATGACTTCATCGCATTGATCATTTCCCATCATCAGCTCTCTTTGTTATTGGGGATACAGGTCATGACAATGCAGCGGAGAGGGTGTTAAAAGAGGTTTTCTTTTATGGAGAATGATTTGTTTGTTTTGCGTTCCAGCTAGCTAGTCTCCTGGGCCCTAACCTACATTACAGCACAAAGACTATTAATCATTGATGATCAGACCTTTTAATATTGCTCATATAAAATGTATCTGCACGTGATTAAACACATGACGAGCTG